TGCAAACCGTGGCCATGTTGACTCTTCAATTCCTACTTCAGGCCCTGGGGTAACCACAAGTCACACTCAGTGGTTACTGGGAAATAGAAAAAGGCTCCATCTACAAGAGCTTGAGATATAGTTTCAAAAAACTTAGTCGTGTGTCTTAGGCTCAGGTCACCCAGCCTTTTTGATCTCGAGCTTTTCAGCCATAAAATGTGGGTGATACCTTGCCTCATATGTATTACAGCAGATACATCTGAAGGCCTTGTCTCACAAAGGCACTGAGTGAGTAGTTCCTGTTCTTTAGGGACCCCTGAAGGAGACCTAAATAGGCATTGTTCTCTTTTGATGTTGGGATACAGTCCTGCTGTTCACCTTAGGATATGGTTAAAGCTTTTTGTAAGAGATAGGAGTGGGCCTGCTTTTCATCCGAGCTGCCCCGCTAGCTTACACCTGAAATAATAACACAGAAACTGTATTCATTTAAACACTGAGTGGCTTTTCATGACAATGAGACATGTCTGCTCCTGGCAGCACCAATCTCCTACAAGAGAAAGATGGGCATCGAAGAGGCTCCTTATGGAGTTGGTTAGCCATTTTGGCAAGAAATCTTCTTGCCTGGACTATTACATAGACTGGACACAAAAAACTCACAGAGAGAGAGGACTGATAAACTTGCCTAAAGGTGAGATGGTCCTTTGGAGTTCCTGTTTCATGAAAGAGTCTGTGTGACATTCTGCAGGACACAAAAGAAAGTGACTAAACTGTCTTTGGAATTTCCTGCTTCATGGAAATGTCTGTTGGATACTATGGGCCTGTAGGCTGAAGATGGGTGCCCCAACGGTACAGAAGAACTTTGGGTGACTGTCCAGGAAGCGAGATGTTTCTGTCATTTCTAGAGTTTTGGAAGTTGATTACTTCTTGTTTTCTCAGGTAATATTATATCCTTCTGGTAATATTATTTCTTCTTTGATAGAGTTAAAGAATAGTTATAATTTTCCTTTGTTATGATAAAAGATATAAATATTGTAACTGTAGTTATTATTTGATACCTGTTTTGTTCTATGTAATTTTATGGTTAGAGTGAAAGCCTTTCTTTTTGTTTAAACAGAAAAAGGAGAAATGGTGTAGGAGGTTCTTCTATCTATGTGTTGCTTTCATTGGTTAATTAATAAAGAAAACTGCTTGGCCTGATCGTTCAGAACATAGGTAGGCGGGGTAGACAGAACTAAATTCTGAGAGGAAGAAAACAGGGTCAGAGATTGCCGCCATGGAGCCAGCCGCCAGGTCAGACATGCTGAATCTTTCCCGGTAAGCCACGACCTTGTGGTGACATACAGATTATTAAAAATGGGTTAAATTAAGATGTGAGAGTTGGCCAATAAGAGACTAGAGCTTATGGGCCAAGCAGTAATTAAATTAATACAATTTCTTTGTGGTTATTTTGGGGGTTAAGCTAGCCAGGTGGCTGGACACAGCCTGCCGCTCCCTACAACAAAAGTTTCTTTAACATTTTGCTAATGGAGTAATTTCTAATTTTTTTCAATATTCTTATTTCTTACTCTTTAATTTCTTTCTTCTCTTTTCACTGTTCTGGCCTCTTGTGAGTACCCTATAGTGACATAGGCTATGTCCTGTTCTTAAACCATTGACACTTAAACAAAAGACCACTCTCTCCTACCAGTGTTTATAACCAAATGACAGAGAGACCTTTATTTCTTCTACTGCAGTGGTAACAACTTAAAGTATTTATTTTCATTTTGGCCATTTTTTTTTCCTATTTGTGGCTGTGGAGATCCTTGGATATGTTGAAGTGATAGCTCTCTTACATTTCTGCCAGCTACTATGTGGGTATATACTGGGAAGTCCTGTCTTCTCTCTGCAGAAACTGTTTTACAGACTACCATAGCACTTGACACAGAAACCATCTTCCAAGCTCACTGTTACTAGAACGAGACACTCAGTTGCCCATAAGTCTGTGCTCAGTGGTTACTGCTTGTGGCACATTTTCAAATGGACCTCCCAGTGGTTGCATTTGTGATTAAAAGCTGTCTGCTCTCTGACTCACTAGGGGTTTGCTATTTAAGTATGTCATGCATGTGCATGCACATGCGCACACGTGTGTGTGTGCGTGTACACACAACAAATATACACATACACAAAATCAACTATGTCTGGAAATTATAAAGTGTTCTGTTAAATGAAAACTCAAATGAGTACTTTAATGACAAGCTGAATTTTCTAAACTTCTGTCATGAGAAGCACTACTTGGCAACCTAACCATGTATGAGGTGCAGAAAAGTCATTTAGGAAACTAATGGCCAGTGAATATACACCATTGCACAGGACATGCTCTGCACAGATATTTAAGTGCCAGTGAACTTATCAGCTTCATCTCAGCTCTTCAGTGGGATTCGGCATTCAATTTTGACCCTTCACAACTAAAGCAGGACAAGATTCCTTTTTAAGTCTACCCAGATATTCACTGATACATGAATAGTCCTGTGTAGCTTACAGGAATGTATTACCAACAGCAGTTCACTATCAACACCCCTTAAAAGATATTCAAATAAACAGTGCAGTGACAAAGATGGGATGTTTCAAAGGGACAAATCATTTCTTCCTTTAGGTTACAGAATATTCAGCCTTTTAGGAAGTAAAAAAAAATATTCTAGAATTTAAACCTGGGTTCTTGTATTCTGTGATGAACACACTATAAATACCATGGGATAAACCAGTCTTGTTCCCTTCCCTTCTCTGTCCAGACTATACACTAAATCGGAACAACACACACACACACACACACACACACACACACACACTCTTCTGTAAATGTACAGGGGAAAATTCCGAGGAAATTTAGAGAATTGCCTGTCTCCTTTCTGTTTTGTCAATCTTTCTCTATCCCCCAATGCCAAGTGCTCTAAAATCTAGCCTCCAAACCCAGTGTCTGGGATGCGAATCTATATTTAGATCGACAATACGACCACATTGATTACATTGATTCTATTTCAAATATTTACAATATACTGAGACAAGCCTAATCTATTTTCTAAAGAGTTCAAGGTAGGTATCAGAGTTTCAGAGGGGGTAACAATGGAGAAATGTTTGTGGTTGCTATCTACAATAATCTGATGTTGACAGAGAGTAGTATTTTATTTAGTAATTAACAGTGTAAAGGGCCGAGGAGCTGTCATGTTGGTTCTTAGGCTAGGGAATGTGATGAAAGATGATATCTGCGATCGCATCCTTTCCACTTGTTTAGGATTGTCAGGATGAGAAATGTCAGCATTATGAAAGCTCAGCTCTGCTCTTGATATGATAAAACCCTTCAAAAGCCAGCCTTTCTCTCTCCCTCATCCCCCTCCTTCCTCGCTCTCTCTGCACTTGCTTTTTTATTTATCCTGTTTTGTTAGATGGCAGAAATATAATTCTTTTCTTTCTTCCTATTATAAGCCACCATTTTTGTTTTATTATATGTTTCACAACCCCTAATGCCCCACTGAAAATTACCTTGTTAAATGACAGTGTTTCAAAGCCATGAATCCTTTCCACCATTCCCTCAGAGGTTTGAAACAGTCAACAGACTGTAAAGAATAAATAATAAAAAAGTATTGATTATTTTGATGACTGTGAGATTCAATTAAGTATTAATTTTGCCCTCCAGTGGACCTATCAAGGTATTCAAAAGGGAGGATTCGGCTCAGCTAAATGCGTGCTGAGTGCTTCAGCCTTAAATAGGGAGAAAATGTGTTTACCTACAGTATTTGAAGAAGAAGTGCATTGATGCACAGAGTCCAATATTTAAGTGCTGTGCAAATTAAGCCCTGGTGACAGTGACATTGTTTTCAGTGGTATGAGTATTGACTAAAGAAGTGCATTTGATGACAGCTTAAACTATTTGTATTGATTAACATTTTCATAGATTATCATGTGTCATATCAAATTCACTTTTCAGGCATGAATACATTAAAAAAAACCCACAGGCATACCACAGCCAATGTGATGATGGGCAGGGGAGCATGCCGCCCCACCTGCTCCTGCACGTCACCTGTTTCCTGCTCAGGAACCATTTAGGCATGAACTTGACAATAAATAGCTCCCAGATCACGAAGGGAAAAAGGCAGCTTTTGCTTTGCTTTGCTTCTGCGTCTGATATCAGTGCCAAAGCCATCTTAGTTTGCAAGTGGACTAAAGGCTATATTTGGGGGGTATTCCTCCTCATCCTAACATGCCCTTCTGAACGAGCTGAAGATAAATCCGGGCTAAATATTTGGGGAAAAAAGTTTTGCCTTTTTTTTTTTGTTTTGTTTTGTTTTTCTGGAGGTGATTCTTGATTCCTTTTTCTTTAATGCTCTGGGTGCATGATGCTCTAGGTAACTGAATTATTGAAAACAGTTTGTAAGTATTTTCCCACTTCCTTAAAAATGTAAGGCAATTTCTGTATATTTTGTTGTGTACTGTTTGCTTTAAAATGTGCATTTGATTGGGGTCAGCCTCTATCCCCAGTCTGGGACCCATGTAGGGTAGAAAACTTCTAAGTGTGCTCAGATTTTACATAAGAAATATCTCTTATTCCACTGAAAGCTTGTAGCAGTCTTTTCTTCCCCCTGTCTCTTTTCTCTGCTCTTGGGATAGGGTTTAATTGCTTCTCCCCCAGGGAGAAGGCTTCTTAAAATAGTCCCGTTCCCTCCATAGGGTGCCCCTTCTAAAGAGGTACGTTGCTGGAGTACAAACCAGCACTTTCTTTTTTCCCCCTTACTGCATTAAAGACAGAACAAGGTGTAAAAACATCCTTACAAAAGCACATCCCACAATTAAAGCTGTGTTGGTTAGGCTGCTTGCAAAGAAGTTTTTTTTTTTTTTTTTTTAATCCCCCCTCCTTCCTTTTCCCTCCGAAGCTCCTGAATCTCTCACATGCTAGTTGAGCTTTAATAGGGTGGGGAGTAATGGAGAACTCATCGAATCTGTAATAGCTCTTCACTTGACTGCAGCCAGCAATAACAGCGGGAGCAGGCAGAGATAAGAGAGAGGAGAGAGGGAGAGTGTGTGTGTGGAAGAGAGAGAGGGAGAGGGAGAGAGGACACGCTCTCTAAAGCTGCCACTTTTTTCCTCCCCTTCGCTCTTGCCCCCCATCCTAGGATCCAATGATAGCTGGACAAGTCAGTAAGCCCTTGCTGTCAGTGCGGAGTGAAATGAATGCGGAGTTGAGAGGTGAGGACAAGGCTGCTACTTCAGACAGCGAGCTGAATGAGCCCCTGCTTGCACCCGTGGAATCAAATGACAGCGAGGACACTCCCAGCAAGCTCTTCGGTAAGTCTGTCTAGGTATTTCATTTCAGTCCTACCATGTTGTCCGGAAGAGCAATCCAGCCACCACTACCCCAGCCCCCCTTTCCTCCTGCTTTCCATTCAATGTTTTTGTAAGTGCTAAAGAGGAGCTCCGCATCTTTGAGCGGGCTGAGGTACCCGAGCCTCTTCAGCTGGCGGGGAGGGATGCCCTCCAAACTTTTTCACCAACAAGGAACTTACTTACTGTCCATTTTGACTTGTCAAGTGGTGTTGCCATTACCAGGTTGGAAATTATTCGAACAAAATAGAAGGAAAGAATGAAACGAAAGAACGAAATGGTAATAATAATCAGGAAATCAGTTCCATTGTGAGAATTGGTTAACATTTATTGAATAAATATCGACTTGGTTTCGGGTTGCTTTGCAGTCTTTTGTTACAGGGAGGGAGAGTAAAGAGTTATTATCTGTAGTCAAAAGATGAGTGAGGAGAACTGAAAATGTCAATACAATACAAATCGCTCTGTGCCAGGTAAACAAAGGTGGCTACAGGCACGGCTCTTAGAAACATATTTTGTCGTCATCAGCTGAGTGAGTACTTCTTCTAAAAGGGTTGAGGGAGGAGAGCCGTCCCCTACCCTTCTCCCTACCCCTCTCTCTTTAACATATTTTTGCCTCCTACTAACCGGGGCGACAGCCCAGGACCTTTTAGGAATCTGTTTCATAAACAAAATGAGAACAAACAGAGAGCCACTTCAGCAGAGACATCTGTCATTCAAATAGATGACAGTCTGTAAGCCAACTCCAACAACTGTGATCTCTAATCAAGGGTAGCAGGCTGCTGAGGCACGTGCCGGCGTGATGGATGCTCTGAGACTTCTCTGCAGCACAAGTACTTTATGCTTCTGAGTGACATTAGGTTTTCAGAACAGCAGTCTCCGACACGCTTGCTCTTAATTATTTCCAAGTGTGTCTGTCTACATATCTGTATACAACTAACCTAGTATAACAGGCAGAGAACTGGTGACTCTCAGATTTAAAAAAAAAAAAACACAAAAAAACCATCTTAAACCTGAAGTTTAGAGTCAAACAACATCAATACATAAAATACTTGGTGAGGAATGCTGATTAATTTTAAAATAGGTTTTAATTTTTTTTTTTTTTTGGTAGAGAACGGACAGAGCTTCCTTGGTCGGCAGCTCTTGGCTGCTTCCATGGAAAACAGCTTTTTACTTATAAATGTTCAGGCAAGCACCAGAAGGAAACCACAGAGAAACTTTGTTTTGGATTTTTCTTTTGGTAAAATGCTGATTTTCACCTAAAAACATAACTGATTTCAGTTTTCAGAAATCCTGTAGTTACTTTTAGTTCAAAAGGCTCCGGCTTCTGAAATCAAGCCTTCGTGCCTGGCTTGGGAGGTCTTATCATTTCACTATGAGGAAGATTTTAGCTGTAGTCTAAGTTCTTAACTGTGTGAAAAGTTATGCCCTGAAACGCTCATTTTCTTTTAAGAGGCTTGTGAGAAAAATCAGATAAAATTATCAATTGCAGGAAGGCTGCAGCGCTCTCTGAAACTGAGTGTATTGAGCAGGGCTTTAGCTTTCTCACTGCCGCTGATCTCAACCTCAGCAAAGCAGCAGATATTAAATTATTTGTCCCAAACATTTCATGTATTTTTTTTTTAAAGTGAGAACATTTTGTCGACTTCGGTTTGTAGCCACAAGTTCTTTTCTGTCAGCTGACGTGATGAAGGGTTGATTGATTTAACACTGTATTTATTTAGATTTTTCAGTGTTGAGAATTGCTTCACATTCTGCAGCCCACTTTTAATGTTCTTCATGGACAGTGAAGAAAACTTTGAAAGAACAAATGGGGCCAAAGAAATTTTATTTAAAGTTCCCTGAAAATATTTTAAGTGGAGTCTTTCTGGGATGCCAGAGACTAAGGAGTCAGAGTTTAACCAGAAACTTACAGTGGACTTGGGAGAGCCCCTTCTCTGCATTTTGAGATTCTCAGTGTGTGACAGTGAGTCCAGTCAAGTCCCCACACTCTGCCTTGGGGTGTTTCTTCTTCACTAGATTGTCTTTCTCTTCTAGATTACTTTATAAACACAATATAAATCTTTCCCACTTTTCAATTAGGCAGAAAAGAAATCACTTGATTTAACAGTCTTGAAAACTTAAAACAAAAAAAAATGCAAGACAGAAATTGTAGGATGCAGCCAGAGAGGAGAGCACTCACTGGTCTTTGGAAGGGTGTCCTAGTTATTGGGATGATAGCACTCTCACTTCTGGGAAATTTTAGTTTGCACAACTGTCTAAAACTTTCTGAACTAATCATCTCCCAGTCTTTTCGGGAATTTTAATGACAAAGTTTGTGATGCAGGCATATGCTGTTTTCTTTAGCATGTGAATGTTTGGGTCTCCATGTTTTGTTTGTAGGCATAGTTTTAATTGTGTTCTTTATTTGACATCAGAGAACCGTGTTGTTCGTGGGTAGTTGAGCTTTTCTTTAAACCAGGGTCATTCTGCCGTTTCTCTCTAAAGTCATCATACCTCTACAAATTAGGATAATCCTGTGCATTTTAGTATGTTTAATGTCATGGAGAGACATTATCCAATAACAGGGGCTCGGAAAAGCGTGCTTTTCCTATTGCACCTTAAATTTCAGTATAAATGGATTTCTTCAAACCTAATTCTCCTATCTGGGTCTCACTCAAATTAGTAGTCCAGAGGACAGGCATGTTTCCCTCACAGTACGGCATCTTCAACCCCAAACTGCAGGGGAAAGGCTAATGCTGATGCCCTCTATGGATAAACAAAGGAAATCCCAGGAACCACTGGGCTTTTTATGCCTCTCCTTAAATTGCACCTCTGTACTTAACAGCATCCAAGGGGAAACATACTGTGCAGAATGTTTCGGTGCTCTGAGCCGCTCAGAATGCTAGGAGGAGGAACAAGAAGCCATATGCCAGCCTAAGTAGAAAGTTTAGAAAAGGGCCCTTGTGCTTTGTGAAGTAATTACATCAGAGGTAACATTTTGCTTAACTTGAACAGCCATGGAAGCTAAAGTACACTTAAGAGAGATAAATCCACATTTCATTGAGAAACATGTGGTGAAGTAGTTCTCTGCAACATCATTAAGTGTGCATTATTTATTCTTATAAAGCCTGTAGAAAAGTCCCTCTGTTTTCGGCATCTGAGCATATTCTGCTAAATTCTGAGCCACAGGAACAGCATGGGAGGATGGGGCACAGGCTGGCACGTGGGAGAATTATCGGAGAAACTGGTGCTGGGTCACATACTGCTCTAGTTGCATGATGGTGACTGATGCCCCCCAATATGGGACTAGTGATGTACACACTGAAAACTGTACCCCAAACTAGCCTTTGGCAGGCAGTCTCCAAGGGAATAGGTTGCTGTGTTTCTCCAGTGACAGTTATATTGCTCATGTCAACGGGGTGTCTCACTTGGAGTTCCGCCTATCAAGCCTTCATTGTCCCACATTCAGCAGGCACGATGCTAGCATTCCAAAGGTGGTATCAACCGCTGGGGCAGGAAAATGGCGCTTCAGAAAAGACAAAAGTATGGTGTATTTCTGGAAAAATATCTGTATTCTCCGCCGAAGAAGTGAGACCTCCCCAAACAGGCCCAAAATATTTCTTCTGTACATATTTGAGCTAGGACTAGTGATTATGAACAGTGCTTCTCCTGGGACAATTCTTAGTGTTTCAAGCTAAACCTCATGATTGCTTGTGTTTAAGTTCCAGCTAGCCTAGGTGACCATCCTAGGACCAGTGGCATGTTCTGTTGTATCTTATGAGGGGGATGCACAGCCCAGAACCTTGAACTGCAGGGGAAACCCACCCTTTATGAATGCTGTATGTGAAATAAGAAAAGGTCTGTTTTTCTCCTATAACACAGTGGCTTTTTTCCCCCCGACTTAACAAAAATCACGATGATACTTTCAAGAGTGAGCCGTCTCAATATCATTTATCTGTGAAATCTTAGGAGAGGGTTGAAGGCTGGGTCAGTTATTTCTCCATGTTAGGAAACAGCACTTGTCTGTTGGTTTTCCTTTCTTTCTACTGAGCTTTGTCCAAAAGCATGCGTTAGAAAATTTTCTGTTTTCAAATTGCCATCCAGTTTGACTTGATTAGAATTTATGACCATGGAGTCATTTTCAATGACAAAAGGATAAAGGACTAAATTGTCTGTCACCCCCTGAGACAGTGGTCTCTGCAGGTCAGCAGCGAGGTCACTGCAGGACATAGTGGGGGCTGCTCTTTGGCAAGGCTGCCTCCTGCCTGTGTGGGCAAGTGGAGGCCTTCGTTATGGGATCGCTGGCTTCATTACTTTATTTAAACGTCTCTCTCAAGGTTCCAATGCATTGGGTGCTTATAATACTCGGATAAAATATGCTGGAGCCAGTAATCAGCACATAGGGCTTAAGCCCCAGAGGGAGTTAGCTGGAAAATGAAGAGGAAAAGTCTCTAGAGAAATATATTCATTTGAAATATGGAACATGCTTCTACATTTTTAAAAGTTGTTATGCTATCTCAATTGAAAATTCATGTTTTTTTTCACTAAAGAAAGTGTGTTTTGATGAAAAAATTAAAACATCACACACTTGTAAACCAACTAAATAATTTGAACAATGTATTCTATACAAAAACCACTAAACAGGAATCAATAGAAGTCTGTATTTATGTAAGGAAATGGGATGTAGGATAAAGTGTGTGCCACAGTTTCCAGCTTAAAAGTCAAGCAGCCCCTTGCCCTGCTGCTCTCTGAGTAACAGAGATGGTAATGCAAACTTAAATATTTTTTCTTACGTTTCAGAAAATCTAATTCACCCAAGTAACTATTTTAAAAAGTCATTGAGAGGCTGTGTGTATTTAGACAACTTTACTTAGTGGCAATTTTCCCATCAGACTATCATCACAACACTGCATTATAAACAAATCCACTTTAAGTAGTATTAATATATAGACTTTGAAGTAAAAATAAATCCAGTAAGAAAGGTA